GAGAGTCATATATGCATAGGAAAGAGCATTATAAACATCCCAGCCCAGTCCATAAGTTCAATATTAGCCCCTAAGTCTGATAGTAGCCCATGACTTCCTCTTCAGACTCATGCAGCACATGCATTAATGCCGAATGCAGGAAGATCACAGGCTGGCAGGTGGAAAGTCCTGTGGGTCCGATGGCACTAGATGAGCCTCCAGGGCTCTGACTGCCATCAGCCTGGCTCCATGTGGTTTGTCAACAGGAATGTGAAGCAGAGTGAATGTGTCCCGCATCCAGGGAGGAAGAGAGGAAAACTCCCAAGATCCTCTTGAAAAGGCCAGGCCCACATAGAGGCATCAATCAGGCTGTGACCTGATGGACAGGCTAGACTCCACCCCTATAACCTATTTATCAAGTTGATATGAAATTATATAACTCCCACGGGTACCTAAGTCATGACAAAGAGAAGATCAGAGAAACATTTAGAAGCCAAGTATAAACATGTCCTTGAGGAAGACAAGTGGCCGGGCTTTTAACGTTGTTTGCTCCGTTCTTCAAATCGCCTTTGGTTTTTTGATGCTGTTCTCAGAATGCACAATGGTCCGTCGCACACCCACACAAACCCCAGGTACCCTCCTATACAAGCTTTCATTGAGGAAAAGCTTCTCCCTCCCCCACCTCCTCCTCACCCCCAGAGGATGTCATATTTCCCCAAACCAATTCTCAGGGAGCCTGGGAGAGAACCTTCCCCGGCAGAGTGGTCTCTCTGCTCTTGTGCTTTCCCATAAAACTTTACACCTGCCTTTACTGTCGGCATGAGGAGGACACTCAAAGATGGATGGAGGACACGGGACAGAAATAGTCACCCGCTCCCAGCCGTGGGAACGCTTGTGCTTTATTGTACTGTTATTGTTCACAGAGCCCTAGTGCCACAGCGGTTTAGTGCTCGGCTGCTAATGGAAAAGTCCATGGTTCGAACCCAGCAGCCCCAGCAGGACAATCACTGAGTCTGTCTGCTTACGTAAAGAGGACAGCCTTCGAAAGCTGCTGGCAGGTCCTGTGTGTCAGAATCAAACTGACGACTGTGGGGGACCAGGGGGCACAGAATTAGATTTCACTGCCCTTGAGTTGATTCTAGTGCTCACAAGGGCAGTTCTACCCTGTCCTATAGGGTCTCTATGAGGGCCATCGACTGAATGGCGATGAGTTGGGAGTTTTGGAAGGCAGAGTAGACTTGCACCCATGGGTTTCTGAGGTTGTAACTCCTCATGGGAGCAGAAAGCCGCGTCTTTCTCCTGAAGTGGTTTAGACCTTGTGGTTAACAGCCTGCGGCGGAGTCCACTTCACCACCAGCACTCCCCCCTTCAGTCCAGCCCTAGACAAGACTCTGGAAACCAGAATGACTGGGGCAGGGGGTGGGAATACCAAACGCTCCAAGAATCAAGGAAGTGACCTCTTCTGATGGTGCAGTGACCTCTTCTGATGGTGCGATTGCCACAATTCTGTGGGTGTTGGTGGGAGCCATCAGTCTGATCAGACTCACTGTGGCCCTGTGCGATACCGTAGAACGGGTTTTCTCGGCTCTAACTTTTAGAAGATCAGATTGCCAAATCTCTGTCCTACCGAGGCATTCCCAAACCCACTGCTAGAGAGTCAATTCTGGCCCGTAGTCACCCTACAGGACAGGGTAGATCGGCCGCCTTTGGCTTTCTGAGACTAATTCCTTAAGGGAGTAGTGGCCTCATATTTCTCCCAAGGCTATACTGGTGAGTTGGAACCACTGACCTTGTGGTTTGCAGCTCAGCCTTTCCTGTCAGCAGACAAATACGTACCTGTGGTGTCAACAGGGCTCCTTTCCACACTTGTAGCAGAATTCTGTTGAATCCCCAGAGTTAGAACCAATGTGGCGGCACCTACCAAGAATAATAACAACAGAGCAAACTTTAAAAGACAAAGGGTGTTGAGTCAATAAGGCAAAAGGAGGGTGTGGTAGCTACATAATCTGGTGTGCATTTGGAACTTGAGAGGATTAAGAATGAAGGGGTGGAGTCTAATCTGTCAGTCGGATTGTAGCCAATAAAGCCTGTGGGTATGGCTTTCCCCTAAGGATTATGAGAATTCCCATATTTTCCTCCTTGGAGGCAGGAGTGAAGTAGAAGAGAGAGGAGAGGACCAAGGGTGGAGGAGGTAAAGGAGACACAGTAGTGATGTTCAGGAACAGATAGGGGTGGACCCCAAGATCAGTTGGAGGCCTTGTGAAGGAGTCAGGTCATGCCACACTCCTCCCCCCTTTTGAAGCACCAGATCTCCCAATTCCAATGGATTTGTGGCACTCCCCCCACATTCCCCAGCCTCCCTCATCGCCCTTTCTCTTCCCTGTACCCACTCCCTTGAAGACAGAAATGGCTCATGTTTTAGATCTCTCTGTCCACTCCACCCAGCCAGTGGTCACCTTCGATGAAATCAAAGCCCTGCCCTGCTCTTCTCAGCCTTCAATGGCTCACCATACATACAGCAAGGAGATGAAACGCTGGCTCAAACCCATGTGATGCCGGCTTGTGCACAAATGATGTGAGCCGCAAGGTCTCCTAGCGGACACACTTCACCTGATCAGTGCCCTGGGATCCTGGTCTGTCCAGTTAGTGCTCAAGCATCATTATTTGTCCAAGGAATCTAGGTAATTTAATGGGATGGGCAGCCAGGCTCGGGAAACCTGAAAGGTTCTCCAGAGCCGAGCAGCGACCCCGGGCTTTCTGTGGATTATCTAGAAGTGAATGGAGGGCCTTGCAGGAAGTGTCTGAAAGCACTCAGCTGTGAAATGCAAGAGCACTTCCCACCCTCTGGCCCTGCCTTTGCTTTAGTTGACATCCATGCCCACAGGCTCAGACATGGCAGCATGGGCAACTGTCTCATGGCCATCTGCTATGAATCTGTCCTCGGGTGACGCTGAATACATTTCATTATGATCCATAGCAAAATGACAGTGATGAAGTAGCCACGAAAATAATCTTATGGTTGGGGATCACCACAACATGAGGTGTTATTAAAGGGTCGCAGCATTAGGAAGGTTGAGAACCACTGCTCTAGAAGATGCCAGTTTGGGCGATGTGAATTAAATGCCTCCCAAAGTAAAAAGAGGGTCCTTCCTTCAGGAAACAAGCAGTCCCGGGTGGCAGGAGTTGTGAGCATCCAGAGAGGCTTGTAGACATCAGCTGGAAGGTAAATTGAGACCTGATCAGACTGGGGTCCTCCAAAAATAATATGGAAGCAGCGTCAAGAGATCACATGATGTGTTGCATTGGGTCAATCGGCTGCACAAGACCTCTTTAAAGTGTTGAAAAGTAAGGATGACACTTTGAGGACTAAGGTGCATCTGACCCAAGTCATGATATTTTCCATGGCCTCCTATGCACGTGAAAGCTGGACATTGAATAAAGAATGCTGGAGAAGAATCAATGCATTTGAACTATGGTGTTGGTGAAGACTATTGAAAGACTACTGAAAGTACCATGAACTGCTAAAAGATTCATCCTGGAAGAAGTATGGCCAGAATGCTCCTTGGAGGCAAGGATGGCAAGACTGCATCTTACACACTGTGGACATGTTGTCAGGAGAGACCAGTCCCTGGAGAAGGACATCATGCTTGGTCAAGAAGAGGGGCAGCAGCAAAGAGGAAGGCCCTCAAGGGATGAACTGACACAGTGGCTGTTGAAGTGGGCTCAGGCATAGGAACAATTGTGAGGATGATGCAGGACCAGGCTGTGTTTCGCTCTCTTGGCACAGGGCCACTAGGGATTGAACCGGCTTGATGGCACCCGATGACAGCACCTAAGTAAGATGCATTGCTTATCATTAGGAATCCCCAAGTGGAGTGATGGCTCTTCCAATTACAAAGGAAAAGAGGAAGAAAAACAGGAAGAAGGAAAGAAAGGGAAAGAGAAAGAAACCTTGATTGGTCTTCATGCACTTTAGGGAGGTCTTATCCTCACAAAGCGCCCTGTCTAAAATGACAGGCCCTGGTATATAGCTCTAAGTTACCTGTTTCTAGGTCACGTACTCCATAACTTTAATGTCACTGGTGCAAGAAGGGAGGCAGGCATTCCAAGAGCCAAATCTACCAAAAGATCAAGAGGTCCATAAACATACATGTGAGTCTTCGTAATCTTGATGGGTCTGTATGTGTGTAAGAGACCCGGTGGTGTAGTAGTTACCATTTTAGGGGTGTGGTTGGGCTGCTAACTGCAAGGTCAGCAGTTCAAAACCACCAGCAGTGTCTTGGGGGGAAAATAGGGCTTCATATCTCCTGTCAAGACTTACAGTCTTGGAAACTTACAGGGGCGGTTCTACCCTGTCCTACAGGGTCGCTGTGAGTTGGCATCCACTCTATGTTAGTCTGGGTAGAATAGAGAAACAAATTCATAGACATACTCATAGGTGTATAAGAAAGAACTTTATATAGAAGAGCAAATGAATATTGAGAAAACATCCCAACCTAGTCCAGATCAAGTCCACAAGTCCGATATTAGCCCAATGTCCGAATCTATAAAGTCCTCTTCTGATGCATGAAACACATGCAATGACACCGAATGCAGGAATATCACAGGCCAGTAGGTGCAAAGTCTTGTGGATCCAGTGGCAGTAGAAGCATCTCAATGCTGGCAGGGGTCTCCACGTGGCTTCTCCAGTTCCCAGGGTACAGGGTCTATCAGCATAGTGCCATGTGTCTTGTCAGTAGAGTGTCTCTCAGGGAGTGAGCAGAGAGAGTGTTTATCTCCCGCCTCCAAGGAGGAAAATACAGGAGTTACCAGAATTCTCAGGAGAAAGCCATGCCTACACAGAGGCTTCATTGGCTATGACCCAATTGACAGATTAGACTATACCCCTTCACTCTTAATCCTCTCAAGTCCCAAACTGACACCAGATTATGTAACTACCACACACTCAATGGTAGTGAACTGGGTTTGGGTTTGGATTGGTTTGGAGTGTGCATCAGAAGACAGACATGCCATGCCATGAGAGATGTAATTTGTCCCTTTGGTTTCTTTCTTCAGCAAGTGCCCCAGCCTCACCTCGGGAAATGATCAGCCTCAAAGAGAGGAAAACAGACTATGAATCCACTGGCAGCAACACCACCTACCACGGGCCTAAAGGAGAACACACTTCCAGGAAAGACACCGTGACAGGTGAGCTCGGCGGGCACTTCCTCCCCGAGATGACCACTAGCTCTAGGGCGGGTCCAGAGGGCTGGCATGGCAAGCTTCCATCTGTCCTTGACAAATCAGCAAGACAAGATATAGCAGCTCTTGGGTCACCTGAGAGCTTGTAGGGAAAGTCCCAAGTGTTGGAAATGAGGCGACTGAGCCAGGGTTATGAAAACCGAGCAGCATATTCCTGAGAACAGCTAGGGGAGGAGATGTGCTCGGCACTTCCTTTCATCCTCGGTCTTCCTTTACCTTCCTTTACCCTTCTTCCTAGTCCACCTCCAAATACAGGCATGCCTCAACGCGCTCACAGGTTCCCTTCCAGACTATGGCAATACAATGAAAACGGTGCATAATTGTTTGGTTTCTTGATGTGTATCAAAGTGCACGTCACCGAAGTCTATTAAAGGGTGCCTCCTGGTAGTGCAGTTGATTAAGCATCAGACGAACAACTGCAAGATTGGCGATATAGACCCACCAGCCACTCCTCAGGAGCCAGCTCCAGGAAGATCCGCGGTCTTGGAAACCCGACGGAGCACTTCTACTCTGCCCTAAAGCGCTGCTGTAGTCAGCAGCCACTCTGAATCTGCGATTCGCGTGATGGAACATTTAGAAGATTAGGCAGATGACCAAAGTGGGAAACGGAGGCACAGAGTGAGCACGTGCAGTTGGAAATATGGAGCCAACAGATTGGCTTGGTTCCGGGTTGCCACATGCCTTGAGTTTGGCCAAATTGACACGTCTGCGAAGCACAATGGAACGGGCGTGCCCATATTCCATCACACGGGCACGAGGCACTAATGTGGTGTAACTTGAGGTGTAGGAGAACCCAAGAGGCTGGGCGCTGGAGGTGGATGCTGTCCATTAGGAAGCGAGGGAAGGAGTGGGATGGGCCAGAAAGAAAAGGAAGAGAAGGAAACCGAGCAGAGCAAGAGCATTTCCGGGAAGCCCACTCACTCCCTCCTATTGAGAACTCTGCCTCTTCCAAGGATACCAACAACCCCTTAGTGGGGCAAAGCCCCGTGACCCTTCATTTGCGCCACATTCCATGCTTTCGCCAAGAAGACATTGAGAGGTGCCCTTCCTCCATCCCACCTGCCGGAATCGCTTCCATTGCGTCTACTTTCTTATCATCCGGGACTCCGTGGAAGCTAACCTTAGTGCTTCTTGGTCACTACTCCAACATGCCCTGCTCCCCTTGTCCCATCACCTGCCTTCGCCTTCATTTGCCCTACAATCTGGACAGCGTTCCTTGAAGCGAGAGCCGCTGTTTCCATTCACAACCCCTCCAAGCCACCACCCCC